GCTCTCAGGATCGTGCTGTCTCCTGTCACGGCCGCTCCAGACCCGTCGCCATCTTAGAACCCCTGCATTTAGCTGTTTTTATAACTGGGACAAAGATGGAGTCAGTCATGTTAACTTGCAACGGGAGTTAGGGGGTGCAGGCCATCTCCACGGCAGGTGGTCCATTCTGTTCTTCCTGGTGGCATCATGGGCACATGCTCAGTTAGGACTTTGGTCCTTGTGCCTGCTCAGTAGGTCCGAGATGGTGGTGGTGTTCATCATCGTCACCCCAGGAGGGTCACTGTGGCAGTCACCTTGAAGTATTGTGCCCATGTGGGAATTCCTAAAGGGGTGTTAAGATTAATCTGTAACTTAATGTTTACAATTACAGTAAACAAGCCTTGGGGAGGGGTTTTGCAATTCAGTGAATATCTGTTTCCCTCTTATCTCTGTTTGTTTTATCAGGCAGGACAGGCCATGGGTAATCATGTGCAGGGTGTCCCATGACTGAGGAGTAGAAAAGTAATAAAGTGTCCTCTGCAGGGAAGATGGAGTCGGTTTGGTTCACAGGCCTAGCCTTAACTCTGTTTCATTAGTAAGAGGCAAAGTCAGGCTTTGAACCCTGGTCTACTCCACATCCGAGCATGCACCTCCCCACAGGAGGGCTGTTATGATGTTTACTGCTGACTTGAGTGGATGTTCTTTGAGTCGTCGTCACCCCACACGATGGGATCACTATGAGATGGAGTGTAGCCTCCCCTCCCCAGCCCCGTGCTCTAAAACTCTTCCACTGGGTCAGGAATTGGGGAGGAGAAAAAAGAAAAAGAAGCCAATGGGGTTTTCTGTTGTCCTGCTTGTTAGCCAGTTATGTTATGACCGATGTCAGTCTAAGATGGCAGCAGGTGGACAGGAAGAACACCCAAAATGGCTGCGGAAAGTTTCAGGTCCCTGGAATAGCACATTTTCTGAGAACCACAAAAGACCCCCCTCCCTCTTGTCCTTCACCGCCACATCACCTTCCCGCGCACACGACTTTCCCCACCTATAGGAAAGTCCCAGCTCAGCTTAAACTCTCGCTTGGTCCTCTCATCCAATGACAGTGAGACAGCTCAACCTATTAGGATATATTAGGCACTCCCTAGTTCTGCATGCAGCTGCTCCCGCTTTGAAAGGGCAGCCCACCCGCTCGCCCCTGAAGCCCTCCAGTATACATTCTGGCTGAGTATCTGTCTCTCGGTGTAATTCTTTGTGACTCCGGGCCATCCCTTTCACTGCTACCCCACAGCCCCTCCCAACACATTAAACTTCAAGACACTGGTGGCCCCAGAGGTGGACGTTTCCCTGGACCAGAGCAGCAGCTCCTTGCTGTCTGGTGGCTTCTTGGATACCCTCGATGACCTAGATATCAACATGGATGACACTGAGACCCCCAATGAGACCGACTTGCTGGAGTTCCTGGGGAACAGCAATGAACTGGAATGGGAAGGTAATGGTTGAGGGTCTCTCGGTGGTCCCTGCCCACCCCCAAATCAAGGTCTCCTTTTGGCTTCCAAGGCTGGCTTTCAGGAGCCATCCTGTGTCCCCATAGAGTCAGAGAGTGGCAGGTGGGGGGGACACAGAACAGGTCCAGGAGGATCTATTCACCCTGCCAACTTGAGGCACATTTTTCTTGTGGACTTGTGGATTTTTCTGGGGGACGCAGCTTTCATTGGATTCTCAAAGGCCACCAAGATGCAAACAAACTGCAGGCAATTGAGATAACAAGTACTTGCTAAGCAGTAGCTCAGGGGCAGGTCCTGATTGAGGTGTCGGGGACATGGTGGGAATTTGATGGGAGTAGGTGGTCCCTACCTGCGTGCAAGGGTTGTCCAAAAGACATGCTAGATACTTAATATGCACAAGAGTATTGGTCATTGGTGCCACAGGAAAATAAAATGGGGAGAGGGCAGGGGTTCTTGCTGGGGCAGGTGGTGATTCTGCTCGCCGAGGGACACTTGGCAATGTCTGGGGACATTTGTGGCTATCACGACTGGGGGTGCTCCTGGCACGGAGTGGGTGGAGGCCAGGCATGCTGCTCAGCACCTGCAGTGCCTCGGGTGCGCCCACCACAGAGAACAACTCAGCCCCGGTGTCCATAGTGCTGAGGGGAGAGACTTTGGGCTTAGGCAACTGTGCGAGGAGGTCCCTTCAAAGGGTGTTCAGGCCATGCCTCTCCGGGTAGGTGTTGTTTAAGCTGAAATTCCCGAGGCCAGAACAAAGCCCTCACAGGGCCTAGGAACCCACAGCAATGAGTGTGGCCCTCATTCCCAGTGTGGTAGAAAACTGCGGCAGGATTGACCAGATCCAATCTCTGATATGTCTTTGGAAGCCTCCCTGTCATGGCCAGGGAACAGTGGACAGTTGCGGGGACAGGGAGGCCAGAGAAGAGGCCAGCGGGAGGGCGTTGTTATACGAGATGGTGGTGGCCGTGGGGTGGACAGGAGTGGGAGGACTCGGGACCCCCCTTGGAAGCAGAGCCTGCAGCACTTGCTGGGGGGACGTGGGGCGGAAAGTCAAAGGTCCACCTGGGTGTTGGCCTGAGCAGTTGGGCATAAGGTCATGCCGTGTCCTGAGGCAGGAAGAACAGGAGGGATAGAGGTGGCTCTTTTAAGAGAGGTTAAGCACCTGAGAAGCCCAGAGAGGGAGACACGGGGAGCAGCATCACACAGCAAATCGTCCATAGAAAGCGGTTCTCCTCGGGTCACCTGACTTGCACCCCCCGAGCACCTTCCTGTGTTCTGTGGCTTGAAAGAAATTAATATCTGGACATGAGTTGTTGACTCCCAATTCCTCCATTTCTCCCAGCCTGATAGAGTTGATCGGCAAAGTGTAGGATCAGTGGTTCTGCCTGTGGCCCAGGAGGGAGAGACATGCCCAGGGAGACAATGGGAAGCTGGCACGGATATCGGTTTCCAGTCGCGGAACACCATTGTTATACTCAGTTATGGTTCATTCCAGCAATGACAGAGCAGGGAAACAGCTGCTCACCCACGGCCCTCAGTCTCTGGTTGCTCACGTCTGTTGGAGGAATAAGACAAGGAAACTTACTGTTAAGAGTACAGTGTGGCCAGGACACAGCTGATAGGGTTCAGGAGGCACAGGGCAGCCTGCTGACTGGAGGTGCAATCCACGAAGACTTCCTGGAGGCGGCAGCACCTGTGCCAGATTGTAACAAACATAAAAGTAGAAAGTGGGCAGAGGCGGGGTGAAGATGGCCGTCCAGCTGGTTTCAGTGCAGGGCTCTGAGCAGAGAGGAGCTGGCTGGCTAGCTGGGAGATGGGACACCAGGGAGACCCACTTGTCACTTTGTAACTATTTATAGGCTCTGAATTTTGTACTGTGTACAAGTGTTATCTAACCACAAAGTACATAAGGTAATTCTTATTTTTGAGAAGGAAGCACTCCAGGAAGACTGCTGGTCACATGCAGAGGCACAGAATCCAGAAGGCTCGGGGTCTTCAGGGAGAGATGGTTGCATTGGCATGGGGAGGGGAACATTTGAAGAGAGACTGAAGCTGAAATCAGGAGCCAGAATGCAAGGGTCAGGCCTTCCAGATCAGGACGGGATTCAGACTTTACCCCATGAGTAGTGGGCTGGACTTTACATCTATACTCATAAGGAATATTGGTCTGTGGTTTTCTTCCTTTTGATGTCTTTGGCTTCAGTCTCAGGGTAATGCTGACCTCATTGAGTACGTTTAGAAGTGTTCCCTCCTCTTTAGTATTTTGGAAGCATTTGAGAAAATCTGGTATTAATTCTTTAAATGTTTGGTAGAATTCACCAGTGAAGCCATCTGGTCCTAGGCTTTTCGTGGTTGGGAAGTTTTTGATGAGGGATTCAATCTCCTTACGTGGTGTAGGTCTACTCAGATTTTCTGCTTCCTCTTCAGTCACTTTTGGTAGTTTGTGTGTTTCTAGGAATCTGTCCCATTTCATCTAGGTTGCCCGATTTGTTGTGGTGCAGTTGGTCAGAGTGTTCTCTTAGAATCCTTTTTACCCCAGGACAGGGCTCCAAAACCAACAGAGCGTTCTGGGAGACCAGTAAAAGAGGTTTCTGGGAAGGCTTCCTGGAGGAGGTGGCGTTTGAGCTGGACCTTGAAGGGTGAGTAGAAGGGAGAGGAAAGTGGGTGAGCAGAGCAGCCAGATGGGGAGAAGTGAAGGATACACAGCCGCCAGCAGCAAAGGAGCTGCAGGAGGGAGTCTGAGCAGGAGGTTGGGAGATGTCCGGACTCAGGTGTCCCTCTCATTCCCCCCACCCCTGGCTGCTTCCAGATGACACCCCTGCGGCCACTGCCAAGAACATGCCCGAGGACAGCACAGATCTGTTTGGTAATAGTGTGGTGGAGGATGGCGGTGCCACCAGTGGGCACCAGTGGCAGATAATGATCATTGGGAAACAGGAGAGTCTCATCAGCCTGCACATGGTCCGGCCCTACATAGAGGTGGTCATTCGCGGAGGGGAGACCAGCACCTTCAGCACCCCCTCCTGGCTCCAGCTCCTGGGCAACTGGAGACCTGTCAGTGCCCCTCCCTGGCCCTCGGTCTCTTCATCTGATCCACGGGGGGCATTTGCAGAGGCTCCTTTCTTCTTGAGTGTGCAGGCGATAGAGGGTTGCATTTGAGAGTTTCTATCATAAGTAATGTTGGAAGGATATGGGGGATGACTTGGTGAAGCTTCTATTGTCTGGGGTCAGAGGTTGGGGCTCCTGTTGTCTCTGTTGCTGGGGGCATGAAGGGTCCCTTCCTGGGGCTCCCATCTTTTCTAGTGTTGGGGACCTGGGAAGAATTAGTGGATGGAGGCCCTACTGTCTCAAGTGTGGGGAGAGGTGGAGGGTCACGGGATGGAGTTCCACTTGTCTCTATTTAGGGAGAGTCACTTTCTGCATCTCCGCTCGAGGTATTGTCAGTATAGACTGAGCAGGTCACTTGGCTCCCCCTTCTCTACTGCTGAGGAGAATCTGATGGGGTCACTTCTGGGCTGCCATCATTTATAGTGTAGGAAGTGACCTTTCATTATGAGAACTTTTAGACTTGCAGAAGAGTTGTAAAACTGTACAGGGTTATTTTATACAGTCAACATTCATTTGTATTTAGTCACATTTTATGTTACATGAGGATCTTCATTCAGTTCTGAAGTTGTTTCTGCATAGAATCACTTTCCTTGAGCCCAAATAAGTCTCTTTAGTGTTTCTTGAAGTGCGGTTGATCTGGTGAGTAATTCTTTCAGCTCTTAAAAAAATCCCTTTGGAAAACATCTTTATTTCATCTGCATTTGTGAAGAACATTTTGTGAAGTTGTAGAATTTTAGATTGGCAGTTTTTTAAAATTCAAATTCAGTTATTCATTCATTGTCTTCTCGCTTCTGTACTTTTTCTTGAAAAGTCATCCTTAGTCTTATTCTTGCTGTTTTGAAAGCGATGTATCCTTTTTCTCTGATTTCTTTCAAGATTCGCGGTTTGTATTTCATTTTCCACAATTTGTCCTTTCCTCTCCATTTTTTAAAAACATTTTATTTATAGTTATTTTGAAGTCCTTGTCTGTTAACTCTAATACCTGGATTGTTCTGGGGTCTGCTTCTATTAATTTCTATATTCACAATTTGGACCTTTCTCTGCTTCTTTGCATGTCTAGTAAATTTTTTGTTGTGTGCTTGTATTGTGATGGTACATTTTTTAGAGGTTCCTGACTATGCTATCCTTCTCTAAAGATAAGTTTTGTCATGGAAGGTAGTTATAATACTAATGGGACACCTCGAGTCTATCAAAACAGGCTTTAGATTTTATAAGGACAAATGTATTTCCAGTTTGCACTTACACCTGTATCTTTTAGTGCATGGTACTCTGAGGTTGTGGCATTTCTATGGTCTTAGTTGAAACAGAGGATTTTACCAAGGTTACTTCACTCCAGATGAGTCCAAACATGAATCTCCATTTCTCCAATATGTGTGACCTCTGAAATTTCTGCACAACTCTTCAGCTTTCAGTATCTATCTAGCTAAGCCTCCGAGATTCTTTCCCTGCACATGTACAACTTATGTATTATCCAAAGACTGGAGGGGGATTTTAAGGCACATTTTTAGGGCTTCTTTTCTGTGACTCTGTAGTCTCCATTAGAAAATCCTTCAGGTTGGGCCGGCCCGTGGCTCACTCGGGAGAGTGTGGTGCTGATAACACCAAGGCCATGGGTTCAGTAAGCTCCCAACATGTTTTTGAGCATTTCCTTAACTTTTGGTACCATAAGATTTTCCCATAATCATCTTTTGTATTTTTCCTGCTCCTGCTCTAGACTCGGCCACTTCGTCGAGGAACCCTAGTGTCTTCTTCAGACAACGCTGTTTAGAAACCAAGATCTGGATGGTAGGTATTCTCATTGCTACTGGGATGTCGTGGCTTCTAGGCCTTCTCAGCCGACAGAGGTTAGAAATATATGGATGTGTACTGTTCTATACATACGCACACGTGTATGTTGTTTCTATCTATAAAAATCCCAGTGAATTCATGCTGATACCTCCAATTCCAATCTAACACCACAGCGTTCATTCTAGCCTTCTCTCTTTGCTTGTTTGTAACATCTTTTTTTGACAGTGAGAAACTGGCTCTTATTATCTATAATCTGTTTACTTAGTTGTTCAACCCTCGTTTATCTATAAAGTTCAACCCTCGTTTATCTATAAAGTTCAACCCTCGTTTATCTATAAAGTTCAACCCTCGTTTATCTATAAAGTTCAACCCTCGTTTATCTATAAAGTTCAACCCTCGTTTATCTATAAAGTTCAACCCTCGTTTATCTATAAAGTTCAACCCTCGTTTATCTATAAAGTTCAACCCTCGTTTATCTATAAAGTTCAACCCTCGTTTATCTATAAAGTTCAACCCTCGTTTATCTATAAAGTTCAACCCTCGTTTATCTATAAAGTTCAACCCTCGTTTATCTATAAAGTTCAACCCTCGTTTATCTATAAAGTTCAACCCTCGTTTATCTATAAAGTTCAACCCTCGTTTATCTATAAAGTTCAACCCTCGTTTATCTATAAAGTTCAACCCTCGTTTATCTATAAAGTAGTGTCAGAATTTCTAACCTACACCCTTGGGAGAAACAAATGTATGACCTAGAGTACAGGATTTGTGTACAATTCTTTTTGTTTTCAGCCTTATAGTATCTGATCCAAGTAGTTTTCCTGAGTAATTTAGATTTTTCCCCACTCCCCTCATAAGTAACTCAGTTAGGTTCATTTGTTATAGATTGTATTCTATTTTGCATTCCCTCCACCACTTGGTAAATTAAAAAAAAAAAAAAACTACCGTAATATTTCCTCTTTGTGGGGTATAGTTCTATTGGTTTTGACAAATGCACAGAGGGGGGTATCCACCAACAGTCATGATACAGAAAAGTTCCCTTACCCCCAACTTTTCTTGTTCTAGTCCTTCGTACTCCTCTCCCTCTCCTACCCCTTAGCCTTGGCAATCATTGATTTGTTGTTGTTCCCTACAGTTTTGCTTTTTCTAGAGTGTCACACAATAGAATCACACAACCTATGGCTTTTTGCCTCTATCTTCTTTCACTTAGAAAATGACTTTGAATCAAACGAGGTATAATTTACTGCAGGGTCATGTACCCACCTTAAGTGTACAGTTTAATTGACTTTGACAAATGAGCACACCTGTGTGACCGAGACCCCATCAACATATAAACACAAGATGGTACAAGTCCACGAGGTAGGTACTCTCACTGTTCCCACTGTACAGAGGAAAAACTTGGACACGAAAGGTCTGCCGCTTGTCTGAAGTAACCAGGATTCTAAGTCATAGGGTCTAACTCGAACCCAGATGGTCTCTATCAGAGTCCACACTCTTAGCCCCTGTGCTATAGAGAACTGCCTCTGCACCAGGCACGGTTTGCAGTACGGGAGCCACAGTGGTGAAGAGAACACAGTTGTGGCCATCGTGGTGGGTACAGCCCAGTGAGGTTTGGGATGGGGAATAAACGTTAGTCAAACAAGCCTGTACAGTCAGCCCTCTGTGTCCACACGTTCCAATCTGCAGATTCGACCAACTGCAGATCAAAACTATTCAAAAAATAAAATAAATACCACCATAAAAGTAGTACAGATATAAATACAGCATAACAACTACTTACATAGCATATACCTTGTGTTAGGTATTAAAAGTATGCTAGAGATGATTTAAATTATGCAGAAGTGGGTAGGTTATATGCAGATACTACGTCATTTTATGTTACACTTCATGCTGTGTAACAGAGACGAAAAAAGATTACTCAAAGCAACATGAATGTGATGAGAAGCCCGAAGGGACTGCAGCTCAACAAATCCTCTGTTAGAAGGAGAAGCTGGGTACAGCCCTGAGTTGGTTTTTGCTACAGTTTCTATTGTAAAGACAAGGAAATTACAGGAAAAGAACAGATGGTTAATCAGTCATAGTAGGAACGTAAGGAAATTGGCTATGTAACAGTCTTCATCCAAACATGCATGGTTCAAAATAGTTTAAACGATATACCACCAAAAGAGTCATAAATCTAAGCTATGTGACATGCAGAAGAAACAATAAGATAATCATCAAAGTGCCTGACTTCTTGAGAAACTCAAAGAAAGAGCTTAAAACAAAACATGGAATAACCCCTGTGTACTAACTAATCTAGCAGAACGTCCTTGGAAATCTTAACTCACATATTTTCCCGTCATTTAAGGTTTGTTGTATTGAGGGTTATTGCCCTCAGAACAATCCCTGTTTTGCTTCAGTTCTCTTGTTCACATTAAAGGCTTTAGACCTTTGTTAGTTTCCTTCTCACAAAATCTTCCAGTGCACCCATTATATTAACAATCAGTGTATACAATCCCTTACCTAAACAGTGATCAGAATTGATTCAATGTACGCTCTTGCCCCCTAGCTGTAGGCTCTTGCCTCCCGTCTGAGGACTTTTGTCCCATTGCGTGCATTACCTAAAAACCCTGTCCAATAATCAAATAGGAATCAAGCTTTCTACCCCTCTACAATTTTATATAAAGGACTCGATCATCTGTGGAACTGGGTATCCATGGGGGTCCTGTAACCGTTCCTTCATGGATACTGAGGGACAGCTGTATAGAGTTGGTCAAATGGGGATAAATACCATGGAGAAAAATAACTCCCAATAAAGGTGATAAGAAATGTGGGCACTGGAGGCCTGAGCAGATTTGAATAGAGGCCTAAGTGAATGGGCAGAGTGAGCCATGCGGCCGGGTGGGGAAAGACCAGTCTAAGCTATACAGAGACCCTGCTGTGGAGCTGTGCAGTAGCAGACAGACCAGAGTGACCGCAGAGGAGCAAGGAAAGAGGAGAGTGGTCAAAAGTGACGTCAGCGATGTAGGGGATCCTGACTGATGGGGGCCTTGTAGGACACGATAAGGACTCTTTGCCATGCTCTCAGCGCACTGGTGTATCACTAGATCAGAAAAATCCATGTGAAAAGGACACAGAATTACAGGTAGGGTGTGGGGAAAACAAAAAAGGGTGGTAGGAAGGGCAGGTAGGAGAGCCGAGGGGAGGAGGCGGTCATTGAAATCTGAGGATGTAGCGGGTGGAGAGGGAAGGGTTGCACTGCAGGGGCGGAGAGGAGGTAACGGGAGCGCCAGCCCCCCTTTCTCCTGCAGGATTATAGCCACAGCAGAGGGACCTTCTCCATCTTCTGGTCCCCTGCCTGGATCCCTCTCACTGACCAACCCAAGCAGAAGCTCTAAGGCAAATCAGCCTGGTGCTAGAGCCCATGAGTTCACCTCCTCAGGCACAGAGCAGGATGAGGGTGTTCACCACTGTCCACTCCTCTCTAGCTTCTTGACATCGGCTTTTGTCCTTCATCTAATGATAAGTTCTTGTCCTCATGCAAGATACAAAGAGGCTACTGTATTGTGCTGGGGTAATGTCAATTTGGTCCGTCTCCCACCAGCAATGGAAATCTTTCATCATAACCAGTGTTCTTCATCTGAGACGGTCATGGTGGTGGTGGGACCAGCCAAGGAGGAAGTGGGAAAAGTTAACAATTCCCACTAAATCAAAAGTGTAGCTGTCTCCTATTCCTGATTTGCACCTGATCTTGAGTCCTGAATTGAATTCTTCCTCACCCCAATCCACATTCCGTTTCCACTCTTCCAGCCCCTTTGTAAATGGGGTTCTTTACCTGAATGAATGATCTTATCTCATGTCAGGTGTTTTGGGAACAGATTCTGCAATGGAGATTTCTGTATATTTGGCAGAAGTCTCAGAAACACCATCTTTAAAGGATGGAGAGAAGCCGAGTGGGTGGGAGAGGATGATGTGTGATTTCTCATAACTGAGGTCGATCCCCTAGGGAGCTCTTGAGCTGGTGTTGCCCTTCAGGGGTGTCCTACACTGGGGCAAAGGGACAGGTCTTTGTACCCCCCCCATCAACCAGGCACTGGAAATGGGTGGCCTCTGGGGAAAGGCCATAATCTTAGGCTTGGCACTTTCTTTTGGCCGATAGAAGAGATTTCCCAGCACGAGCCATTAGCAGCCAACAATTCCAGTAGTGAGATGAGCGCCTCAGTCCTGAAGGAGGGATCTGGGAAACGCACCACTGTGTCCACTACGGTCCACTGTTAAGCCACTGGGCTGTTCGTGCTTCTCAAGTAAGTGCAGGTTTTGGGTTGGTCCTGTTGTCTGCAGAATCTTACAAGA